TCCTTCAAGTTTTGGGGTTCTATAATCTCCCAGGATTTGAAATAGACACCTAACATTAGAACCATCATTAAAAAAGCACAACAAAGAATTTTCTTCCTAAGTCAACTCAGAAGTTCAGACTGCTGAAGGAGGAGTTTACATTTCTACTTCTATAATTATCTGGTTTGGTACAGCAACTAAACAGGACAGGTAAAGATTCCAAATGATAGTTAGCACTGCAGAAAAAACAACTGCAAACAGCCTGCCTTCCATAGAAGACCTGTAGATTGTGTGGGTCAGAAGGAGGGCTGAGAAAATAGCTACAGACCCCTCACATCCTGGACAAATAAACTATTCTATTCCTATTCTATTCCTCTCTTGCTCTCTTGCCATTCATTATGTCTAGTGTTGCTTTTCATCAATGCTGCCAAATTCAAGAACTGCTCTCTCAAAACTTGTATTGTGGAAATCTTAGAACAGAAGTGTACATATATTATCTTTAGTTATTTTAATAACTTCCTCTATCACATTCAAAAACACAATTTAGTAGCAACTATTGGAGCCTCTAGGAGCCTCATGTACCCTTAGAGCCTCAGATCTTCTTTAGTTTTAGTCTGTAAATAATTTGTGGCAGGAGCTATTAAATATCACCTTTTTTAATGTGGTAAATAACAATAATGCCAGTAGGTCTAGTAAATTAATAAAAATATTTATGAACTGAAAAGGTAGCATATGCTACAGCTTTATTGCCTAGTATTGTCACCTACTATGAGCAGGCACACAAGTTATGATTTATAAGTCAGAATTCATATATAAAAAATTAAAACATAACACTTAAAAGCTAGGGGTGGTCAATCTGTGGTCCACGAGCCACATGTGGCCCTGGACAGTTAGTAATGCAGGCCCACAAGATTTTAAATTTTTAACATGATGATGTGATTTCTATATATAATCTATATGTTTTACATGTGGCCAAAGACAATTCCTCTTTACTCAATGTGGCCCACTGAAGCCAGAAGGTTGGACATCCAACGTTTTAAGCTAAATTTCTCAAATCCCATTTTAACCTTTTAAAGTGTAACCAAGTTATAAAACTTACTCTTTAAGAAAAACTATGATGCCATTTCCAATAGCTTGCTCAAGGTGAATTTGGAAATCAAGATTCAAAAGACGTTGCATTCAATGTACAACACATCCTAAAATAAAGAAAACATTATTTTTAAGACACAAAAGTACCAAAAGCTAGAATTTCAGTCATTGATATTTCAGATGTGCCTCTCCTCAATAAATTGGAATAAATTCTGATATCAATGATAAAAGTTATCATTCTCTATAGTGAAAAAAACAGATACAATAATGCTGAAAATAGTTACGCTAACTAGTCTTTTTAGTGCTGAATAAAATAGTTACATTAATTAGTCTTTTTGGTCTGCATATGACTAACAATATTGATTCTTTAAAAAGTCAAAACTTTTAGTACAATTAACATTTTATTTAAAATCAGAATATTTTAAATGGTGCATTTAGGTACATAACAAGGTGTGTCACAATGAACACATGTGTCAGAATGAACAACAAAAAATATTATCTGAACCAAAGAATTAACTGCAAAGACTGGATCACCCTGCAAGAATAACTTTTAAAGTATCCTTTAAAACAATTTTCAAAAATAGAATGATCTTGACATCCTTTTAGAAAGTAGAATCTAAATGCTAATTAATAGAAAGAAAATATTTAATTTTGCAAGAAAAACCCAAGACTTCAATGTTATATGTAACATTGTGAAAAAGAAGTGCTCAAGACAACAATGGCAACAATGAATTATCAGTGTGAAATATCCTGTATTTTGATACTATTCAAAATTCAGCAAGGAGAAACAGTTTACAACTTTGAAACATAGCAAAATATTATTTGTGCCATCTACATCTTCCCTATAATGAGTTTACTTATAATAATGCCATTTTGGATGTTTTTATTATTATTTTAAACAACAGCCTATGTATTAGGTTAAGCCTATAACATTAGCTTGAAATGGCAGTTACAGTATAATACAAGTAATCTATAAAACTTACATCTTATAAATTATCAAGACTGAACATCTGGAACCTCAGTTATTTAATAAAATGGCCCAATGCCATCAGAAATAATCATCATTCTATTTTGCTATAAAAGCATTAAATCAATCATAAGCATCACTTCATTGGTCTATTTATTCAATGATGTCTTTCAAGATGCACTACTATACATCATTCTACCCTGTAATGATGTAGTCATTAACATCATCCTGCTTGCTTTTGAAATGACGCTAGTAGCCATTACTATTTCTGAGCAACAAATAATTATGGAGTTTGTGTAAAAAACTAATCCAAACAAAATAAGACAATATTAGTGTCTTTTCAATATTTTTGACTTGTTTTTTTTAAACAAACAATTAAGGGCAATGCTGAAAAGCTCCAATATAAATTGAAGATCCTTTGATTCAGAAAACACATGCTATTTATTTATTACATTTATACTACTCTGCAAACCCAGTGGTTTTACAGGAACATATAAATCACTGAAACAAAAGTCTGGTATTCAGTCTCAAGCCATCTACCATTGTAAGTTTACATGGTGAAGACAAAAAAGCAATTAACGAAGGCTTGGATAATGTATTTCAAATTTAATTTTCTAGCTAAATTAAACTTCTAGTGAAAATTCATCATCAAATAGCTTTTATTTGCTTCTTTCATCCCTAGCAATCCTCAGTGATCAGGAATCCAGGAACATTCATCCAACAGCTTCATACCAGCACCATTGATTTTTTAAATTTTCCTTCTCGTCAGAAGAACAGCATTATTCCTTTTGACAGAGGGTCAACAATAATCACCACCATAATGCAAAACTCACCAGGTGGCAAAGTTTTAAAGGATTTTTTGGGAGGTCTTTTCAATTTTCCTGTGGTTTTGTCACCTGCACATTCCCCCTCTCCATCTCTTTGCTTTCTCTCACTGCTGATTACTGGACAAAAGCAGATGCCTATTTGTCCTTGCTCATTTTTCTCTCCACACCTCTTTCTTTGTTCCTTAGGTGAGTGAGAATAAGAAGACGACATTATTCTGCAATAAAGTACAATCCTACACCAAGGGATACACTTCTAATTAGACATCAGTAAGACTGCCTCTACATCTTGTTCCTTTCACTAGCCTGAAAGATGGAGGAGAGAAATGATGGGTGTATGTATTTAATAGAAAAGTTTGCTTTTACTTGCCAGTGAATAGCGCTTCTATTTCTGAATGGCTAATTGCAAGAACAGTGATCAAGTTAGTTCCAACTTGGTCCTTTTAGAATTGGGAAAAGGGGCATTTTAAATTTAAAAAAATTTAAGGTGCATCCCTGCACCTTAAAAGTGCCATATTGTACATAGTCAACCACTTCACCTGCTGGGGAGGTTCCTTTTGAACTACTGTGAAACAAGTGTATGAATGTGTCTTGCAATTGAAGTGTTTAGTTCCCACTCAAGATACTTTAAAAGTAGAGGTGGGGGTCAAAGATGTAGCAGGTAAAGCGCACCTTTCAGGATAATGGGGTGATCACAAGGACGCCAAGCAAAACCCTACCCCAAGTTGCTACAAAGATGTCCGGATGATACCCATGTGAAGAAAGGAGGGCATTTCAAAGCATTTCCATGCCACACGCCAAGAGGCAGGTGAGCCTAGGCATGAGTTGGATGCCCACATCTATCTCTCTCTTTCTCTCTCTGGAGGACAACCTAGTCCAGGGGTTTCGCCCTCCAACTGAGGGGTGGCCGCCCTCGCGCACACTAAAGTTCATCGGCCGTTGTTGATGCCGGGTCTTCCGCGCGGCCATGGCTGTCACAGAGCCCCGCCGCCTTCCTAAAACTCCCACCACGCGCCGCCAAAGCCCTTCCCGAGCCGTCCCCGCTTCCCGGGGTGAGAAACGGGGGCGCGCCACCAACTTTCCCAACGGCGGCCGCGGGAGGGGATGGCGGAGCGTTGGGGACTATTTGATGCCTCAGCCCACAGCGAGAGGGCGGGTACCGGGGTCGCCCGTCTTTGCGAAGAGCCCCTTCTCTCGCTCCAACCGGCGGCGGCGGCGGCGGGTGGTTGGGTGGACCCCCTCCCCGTGGGGGCGCCCAGGGACACCCGCCACCCCCGCGCCCGCCAACCGCTCCGCTCGCTGGGCGCCTCGATTACCTCGCCCGTCTCCATACTCCGACGAGTCACTATTGGCGGCCATTACACTTTCCATCCGGGCACTGCGGGAATTGCCGAGCTCAGCAATGGAGGGAAGGGGTGGGGTGAGAGCGGCGGAGGGATCTGCGCCGCGCATGGCACGGAAGGAACCGAGGCCCCGACAAGTGTGCGGGGCCGCGGCCTGCCGCCCTTTCGCCTTTTCTCTCTTTTTTTTTTTCCTCCGTGGTGTAGCGGCGGCGGCGGCGGGGCCTTCTGCTGTTTTCCCGCGTCGGGAAAGCGGCTTGGAGGGGTGGGGAATGGTGTCGCGCGGCCGCTGCGCGGAGAGTTTCTACGAAAGTCAAGAAGGCAGTTGGCGCGAATTGCCTTCCCCACCGAGTCCCTCCTCCCTCTCCCCTCCCCCCAGCTGGTGTTGGTTTGCGCGAGGGAGAGCGGGCGCGCCAAACTCCGGGGATGGCCGGAGCACAATGCACGGTGTAACACAAGCACAAAAGTACCTTTCGCCCTGACAAGCCTTCCCCTCTCGGGGAAACGGCCTGAGGCTCTCTACGTCCCCTAGGAGGCCGACACACAAAAGACAAGACCCTCCAAGAGGAAGCAAACAAGGCGCCCTTCGCCTTGTCTTTCCCCTCCATCAAGGAACAACGCCATCTTTCCTTTGGCTCAGCAACCCGTGGCCATTGTCTCAAAGCTGCTCTCTCCTGAGCGCCGGCCGTATAGACTGGTCCTTCCTTCTTCCTGCGAAGAGCAGCGTCGTCTTTTCGTGCGAAGAAAGTAGGCCCTGTTGGGCTCTTCCAAAGCCCCGTCTCCTCTGATCGGGAGACAGGTCAAATCTGCAAGCTTTTTCCTTGCTGGGAAATTTCATAGTCCGCAGCCTTTTTTTTTTTTTACCTGCAAAGCAAAGGAGGGAAGAAAATGGCCGGGGCCTCCGTTTATGAGTCGGTGTCTTTAGTCTTGGGGAGAGGAAGGAGGGCTTGAAACAATGGCAGAATGCATCGCAGGTAGAGCGCTTTTGTTTCAAAGCTGGTTACAAAGCGCGGGGGGTGGGATTCAAATAGGAAGGAGAGAAGTTGTCGGGGATCAACATTAGGAAGTGCAAAAGGATGTTGAAAGTTCAGAGTTTTGTAGTCCACCTTAACATCAGTGTAGCCTTCAATATCTTCATTCGAAGACAAATCCATAAAGCTGGGGAGAATTAGAAGGAAGGAAACTATGAGAGGAAGTCTTAGGGGTACATGTGGTAGCTTAAAAAACAAAGCAAAGTCAGGAGTTTCAGACAAAATGGTGAAATCGACTTCCTATTCTAGCTCATTGTTTCCCAACCTTGGCAATTTTAAGATGTCTGAGCTTCAATTCTCCAGCCATCTTAAAAGTTGGAAAATGCTGTTCTAGTTCACTGCAAGAACAGATTTTCCAATTAATTAGGGCTGACATCAACATTCAGCTATTCCACTTTCTTTTTCATCCTGGTTCTGTGTTCTAATTTTTTAAACCATGTCTTACCTTAATAGTCAAGGAAGAAGACTATTAGAACTCATTTGAAAGTTCAATAATCTACAATCATGTTTACCAAATTCCTTTCAGGAACCGCATTTTTAAAAATGTTATAATATGCGTTATAAAATCTGTAATCTCTTCATGGTATATATAAATAATGCTTATGGTATATGATTTTTACAGGAATTCTGTTAGATTTAATGACACCTACAAATTTAAATATATGGCTTGGAATTGGCCATGAAGTAACATTTAATGCAAATGCTAATCGTCTGCTTTAGATTCTGTAGGAAGTACAGAAGCACCCACCCCTTTCCTGGAAGAGTGAAATATTTTAGGAAATATGAAAAAGGCAGAATATTATATTTCCCTGGATGAGAAATATGAGAAGCATGTTTTACAGACAAAGCAGCTCCCACCTTTCTGCCCCACACCCTTTGTCAATGGGCTATTAAGGCCTGGGCCAGTCTATTTTACATAACAAAGATCTGCCTCCTTCAGGCAGAGCCATAGTAGGAATTGCCAAAGATAGGATTAGCCCTCTACACAATAGCAGCAGAAACTCACCACATGTGACCTGGGAAGCACATGTGACCATCAGCCAGCAAGGCCCCCACCCCCTGGGAGTCTGACAACCAATCAGGATACTCTTTCGGGGCCCCAAGAAATGCAGAGCCAGAGAGAGCATAAAAACCCGAGGATTTACTGTATCTGCCCTTTTCTGTTCAGGAACTCAAGCTATGTGATCCTGTCCACCATTAAACCATCTTTCCAAGCAGTCTCCATGTTTCCAGTGTCTGTTTCCCCACTTGGAGCAGAACCCAGAAGGATGTTTCTTCCAACAATTCGGATCATAAAGATCTTTTACGAATATAAAGTAGAATATTAGTATTTGCCTTAAATATAGCTATACATGTTTAATAAATTTAGAAAGTAAATTATTTTAAGGTTTTCTAACATTTAAAATATAGCTAAATATGCTAAAGCATAGTATGTCAATATATTAAATATAACCTTTCAGGAAGATTGTTTTGAATTGGCATACCATATATATTTTATTTGATGAGTTGATTATTTTTAAAAAAATTATATATATATTTGAACTTTCTCCTTAATTTCCATCATTCCAAGTATTTAAGAAAATACAGTACAAAGAAAATATATTTTAAGTACATTTGGAACTAGCAAAAGAAACAGTAAATGCAATAAAGTCTTTGAAACATTTTCACCTTGCATTGTTTTGCTAGTATTGATTGGCAAGAAGTGATCTACCAATATGCTTTTTTTTTATCTAGATTGGCATTGGATACAAATTTTGCATTAGTTTTTATTTCACTATCTGAACAGATTAAAGAAATTCTTGATCCTTTATGTGTGTCATCAAGATATATAAAATCACCATGTATGAAGCAACTCTGAATTTAACCCAATAAAATGTCTTTCATGACCAGCCCTATCATTAGGAAAGCTGGGTAGACAAATCAGGGGTAACACATCTCTGAGAATGAGGAGTTAGAAATTCATACAGCTGTAAAGTCTGGCCATTAGGTCCAATCCCCTGCTCAAAGCAGGAACCCAAATTAAATATCCCTGACTCTATGCCTTCTATATGAAGGTCCTTGCAAAGGGGAGACCATTACTTTCTCTGTGTAATTGGTTGTCCAGTTAAAATTTCCTGTAACTTAAATCCACTGTTTCATGGCCAAACTCAGGAGCCCTAGAGAACAGAGTTTGATTTTCTGGGTGACACCCTTTCAAATACTTTAAATTATATCTACCTACCCTGTATCCTTTTTCAAGGCTAAGCATACCTCGTTCCTTCAACTCTATTCATAGGAATTATTCTCTACTCTCCTATTATCCTTTTTACTCTTCTCCGAACCTGTTTCAATTTATCTGATGGTGTCCAGAATTGGATATAATCCTTGAGTTAGGATCTGACCAGCCCAGCGTATTCCATATAAACTTCTATTGATACAACTTGAAATTTTATTTTCCTTTGCAGACACATCAGCTCAGTTTTGTACCTTCTGCAAGCTTAACAAGAATTCCCCTCACACATTTGTCCAAATCATTTTAATATAAGTATTGAAGAACAAAGGCCTCGGGACAGAACCTTGAAACACTCTATTCAATAATTCATCCTGGTAAATGAGGAATAATTATTGAGTGCTCTTTCAATACAATTTTTGAGTCAGCTATGTAGCCACTTAATTATCACATCAACCATCTCATGGGTTATTAATCAAAATGTCAAGGAGAATATCATATTTTGCTGAAGTCAAGTTATATTTCCAACATTCCCTTGATCTATGAAGGGACATTAACAATGTTTTTTAACAAAGTTATCTGGCAATATTCGTTTTTAACAAACCTTTCCTGATTTCTGGTAATAATGTTTTCAATGTGCTTCCATATTGATTTTTTTGCTCTGCTCCAGAATTTTACCAGGTTCAGTGTGAGACTGATCCATTTGTAGAGTAGTTCCTTAGATCCCTCTTTTTTCCTTTATTTTTTTAATAGAGACATTTGTTATCCACCAATGACAAGATACTACACAAGTGCTTTAGAATTTCTTACAAATAAAACACGAGTATAGCCAAGCAATCAATTCCTTCAGAATCCTGCAATGCTATTCATTTCATCCAAAAAATGTAAGTATATTTGAAGTAAACATTCCCTGACCAAGTTTCTATCAATCTCATGTCAATTCTGTCTTTGCATTCATTCTCACCATTTTCTGAGGGAAAACATTCTTTTTAGAAAAAACAGCAGTGGGCTACCTCGCTTTTTTCTTTTACTGTTGCCATTTTGTTTTCTTGATTAAAGGAAATGGAGACCAATTCCTTTCAAATTTTAACTAATATATACTTAAGTTCCCCCTATCAAACACTGATTTTTTAAAAAAATATTTTTGTTTTATAGGAGTTCACTGTTACCTCAGATTCTGGGATGTTATGTTTTATAAACTTTTATTTGAGAAGGTTCTAAATTTACCTCTTAATACTCAATACATTATGTTATTAATATGCTACTGTTAACATTTCCTGATATTTCATTCTCTTTAGTATGTTAAAGACTGCACTTAAAACACTTTTGATACTCTTCCTTTGCTTCTCATTTGTTTATATTTTATAATATTAGATTTATATAAAACGTTGGCTGTGATAATAATAAACTTGAATTTGAACCTAAACTTTATTGTTTTCAGATATTTCCTCTGCAAATCATCATCTATCTTCCATTTTATTTCCTTATGGGAATGTAATTTGGTATTCCATTTTTAGAAATTCCCATCTGAAACTCCTTTTCAATTTTCTTGCCATTCTCCTACATATTATTCCTTAGGGGTTTAATAAAATCCATTTTTATATCTCAGATACTCATTTAATTCTCAACTTTACCTTCAGTTAAGAGGTCTGGCATTGGGCGGTCATTTTCACTCAATATATTCTTTCTCAACTAATTTTTCCTTATAGTAAAGGTTTCCCCGCACATGCGTACTAGTCGTTTCTGACTCTAGGGATGGTGCTCATCTCTGTTTATAAACGGAGGAACCAGCGCTGTCTAAAGACGTCTCCGTGGTCATATGTCCAGCATGACTAAACATTGAAAGCGCACAGAGCACTGTTACAACCAAAGTTGTCCCTATTTTTCTACTTGCATTTTTTATGTGCTTTCGAACTGCTAGGTTGGCAGAAGCTGGGACAAGTAACAAGCTCACTCCATTATGCGGCGCAAGAGATTCAAACCGCTGAACTGCCGACTTTCTGATTGAAAAGCTCAGCGTCTTAGCCACTGAACCACCGCATCCCCCCCCCCTTTTTTTTTTTTCCTTATAGATTAGTACCACATCAAGGATAACTGATTCTCTTGGACTTCCCACCATTTTATGACAGAGAAAGTTCTGAACAGGACATTTTAGAAATTTCCTAGAACAGTGCTTACAAGATACCAAGGCCATTAAATCACTGCAACTTAGTAACTTCTTTGAAGGATTGTTTTGAAAACTATAATTCTCAAGTTCTCCCTAGCATTAGAGATACCAAAGGAAGTATTACTTCTGTCCATGCCTGTGCGTATTTTATCCTGGATGAGTGAATATTTTTCACTCTTTTTTCTGTAAACAAATTGTATCACTCTGTTGCAATATTCTAGTCATTGGAATCAATCCTCTTAGTCTCTATTACATCCTTTAAACCATACTTGACTTCCTTTCCTGTGTCCCATAGATTCATCCTTTAGAACCTAGAACACATGTGCTACATCGCCTACTTTTTCTTCTTCACTCGGGAGTGAGGGATTTTGTCCCATCTCTAATATTGAATTACTAAAAAAGGAAATATATTAGTTTGTATTGCACTAGAAAGGGCATCTTCCTTGCAATTCAGATTTTGAGTGCTTACCAAAATTTCAATAATTCAGCCCCAGTTTCTTTTTCCTTCATGATTTATGTTAGTTTAAAATCATAAGTTTTATTGCTATTTCATGACTAGATTTCAAACTCTAGTCCAAAGTCTTGTGCACAAATAATAAAACTGTTTAATCCTTTCTTTTGTAGAAGCAAAAGACTGATATATATCATAAACCAATTTTGCAATTTGCCAATTTGCAAGCCTTTTGTCAGACCCCCATAAGAGAGGAAACTGCTGCAAAAACACAGAACCAAAGTCTAGATGTCAACCAGAGTTGAATGTATCTTTATGTTTATTTATGCCTTCCTTCCTCTTCGTTTTTTTTAAACTGCATGCTTATTAAAAAATATGCTAATGTTGCATACACAAAACTTTTTTATTCCATATTAATTCTGAATAACTACCATCTAATCTTTTTGACTTTGTAAGAATTAGTGGAATAGTTGATTAAACCTTCCACATCATCCATCAACAGTTTTCAACACCTTGCTTATTCATCCTTGTAGGAGGAATAAAAACTTAAGAAGAGCAGTGCTGAATCAGACCAAAGACTTGTTTAGTATTCCAAAGCAGACTTACTCAGATACTAGAAATGAAATAGAGAAAGTGTAATTAGTAATTACTCATAACCCTATTCTCCATGCATCTGTCTAATCCCCTTTTATTTCCAAGATGGTAGTCCACTCCATTTTGTGGTAGCAGATTTCACAGTTTAACAGTGTACTATATGAAAGAAATAATGTGAAAGAAGAGTATTTTTCCCTGCTTTTCCCAATGGAACTCTACAGCATTTTATTTATTTCCAAGATGTTTCAACCTATGCTTCAAGCACAAATGCAACACACATCTGCAGTTTTTTAAAGCAACTGTTTCTTCCCCTGGGATATATAGTAATTATTACCTTAAAAATTGCAGTGGTTCTAAAGATAAAGGTAAAGGTTTCCCCTGTCCAGTTGTTTCCAACTCTAGAGGGTGGAGCTCATTTCCATTTCTTAGCTAGCATTGTCTAAAGACATTTCCATGGTCATGTGGCCAGCATGACTATACACCAAGGCACACAATGCTGTTACCTTCCCACTGAAGTGGTACCTATTTATCTACTCGCATTTGCATGTTTTCGAACTGCTAGGTGGACAAGAGCTGGGGCAAATAACATGAGTTCACTTCATTGTACAGCACTCAGATCTTAAACCTGAACTGTCAGCTTTCCAGCTGACAAGCTCAGTGTCTTTAATCACTAAGCCAACACACATCCACACCCTGGTGGTTCTACAGAGTTGCACACCAGTGCTACATTTGTACCACCATAACTTTTGAAACCTCTTTGAAAATGGTTTATAATCTATGTAACACTAAAATATTCATTGTACCACATACCTCCAAATGTTATAGTTTGGTAATTATTAAATCAATTGTTTTCTCTGCTTCCACATTCAATCATTTTACTGAATATAGAATGGGATTATTGACTTGTCCTGCATGATTTATGATCACTAGTCTTGTTTTTCTATAAATCGTAACGATTAATATATAACCTGGTTATAGGCCAAGCTAGTATAAGATAGAAAGATGTCCACAAATGATCACGCATTGAATCAGAATACATTTAGAAGTTAAGTGTATTAAAGCAGGTAATATATTTCTTTAATTAAGTTGATCAAATTAAGAAAATTTGTGGAATAATAAATCTGATTTTACATATCTGATAAAGTAGAATACAGTCCAAAAAAACCCGAATGCCATACTAATTTGTTAGATATAACCACAGCACAAAGTATTCATGATTTTATTGCAGAAAGTGTTACATAATTTCAACATTTTATTTTTTCCCTGAGGTTGTATTTATCATTTCAACTCCAATGATGTTCAGACAGAGTACTGTAACCTTCATCTTTGTCACTATGTTCTTACTATTACATTTTCCTGCAAATTTGGATCTGCAGATCAGGGAGAAAAGAATTTGTATGCAGTTGGTAATTCTTCAATAACCTTGTTCATTACAGTTTTCCTACTCCTTCAACTTGCTGGGCTCAGGATTCTGATGTAAAAAAGTAGTTCTTTTTTTTTTTTAAATAAATTAAATAATTTTTTTCAACATTAAAAAACAAAACACAAATTTTCACTTCTTACAGCATGGGGGTGGAAGGTAGTTCTTATCAGCGTATGGATCAATGTTTCTCAGACTTGGCAACTTTAAGATGTGTGGACTTCAATTCTCAGAATTCCCCATGACTTCTATGGATGTTTGCTCTGCATTAAGACTCATTAACTGCACGGGGACCTCCATCGATGTAAGCATTTCTAGGTCAGGGGTTCCCAACCTTTTATATACCCCACACCCCTAGAATGCTTCTGATATATTCTCACACCCCTTACAAAAGTAAATAATTATATGCATATAATTATGCATATACACTATAATTTTGAAACTTCTAAACCCAAGTTTTTGCACTCCCTGGAATATCATCTCGCACTCCCGGTTGAGAACCCCTGTTCCCTAGAATCTAGGGTACACCTTTACTTTGGAGTAATCTCAGTTAAACTCAGGCTTACTATACTTCCAAGCAGCCAACTGTTTTCATTACCTCTTATGCATAACCTGGCAAGCAACATACAATATTTGTAGTCATTTAGTTTGCTTTGAGGAATACACAGGATTCATATATAACAAGAAGACATATTGTTACTTGACAGTTCTGACAACTAAATGTTTATGATTTGTGTGAATCCAATATTTATGGTTTGCAAACCCCAGTTTATGGCTTAGCAAGTTGTGTCAATTCAAGCTATAGCAGTTCGGTTTTTTTAAAAAAATGGTTAATCAAAACTTAGCTGTGCTCAATGTGTGAAAAGAAGCAACTATGGCATATAGGCCTAATATTATTAGCAGCAGGGATGAAAGAATGACACTAAAAGACAAAGAATGTCCACCAGGTTTCCATGTACTACATCAGCTGCGACTCCACGGGAGGGGTGGCAGGGTGGTGGTTGTTATTACAGTGGGAGGTCACTGTCCCTCAGATAGGCGGGTATGAATCACTTCTGTTGAAGTGGGACCCTGGAGTGCAGTTGGCTCTGTTGATTACGTACCTGGCTCCCAGCTGCGTGTCTTCAGTCCTGCCCGCACTGCTCGAAGTCTTAGCCGAACTGACGGTTGAGCTCCCCAACCTGATGGTTGTGGGAGATTTTAATCTCCCGTCAGCCGGTGAGACATCTGAGTTGGTTCGTGAGTTCATGGCCTCCATGACAGCCATGGACCTGACTCAAGTTGTACAGGGCCCAACTCACAGTGGTGGGCACACACTTGACCTGATTTTTATCTCTGGGCAGTGGATAAATGTTCGGGGTAGGGGTGAACTTTCCATTCAGCCCCTGTCATGGACCGACCATTTCCTCCTTAAGCTAGATTTTCCATCCTTCAACCCCCACCGCTGGGAGGCGGAACCAACTCGTTGGTTCCGCCCCAGGCGCCTGATGGACCCTGACAGGTTCCTGACGGAGCTTGGGACATTTCCCACTGACCTATCCTGCGATTCGCCAGAGGCCCTGGTGGATGCCTGGGAATGGGCTGCCACCGGGGCTCTGGATCAAATCGCCCCTTTGTGGCCTCTCCTCCGATGGGGATCCCAAGCAGCTCCATGGTTTTCCGTGGAGCTGCGGGAGATGAAGCGTTGGAAAAGATGCCTAGAGGGCTCTTGGAGATCTTCCCACTCCGAATCTGACCGAACACAGTTTATTTATTATTTATTTTATTTGTTTCCATTTCTATACCGCCCTTCTCCAAATAGGACTCAGGGCGGTGAACAGCCAAAGTAAAAAAACAGAACATACAAAATTTAAAAACAGTTTAAAATAATTAAATATTTTGGCCGTAAATTAAAACAACCCAATTTAAGATCAATTTAAAATTTAACTCAAGCCAGCCCAGCTAGTTGAAATAAATAGGTTTTCAGGGCCCGACAAAAAATCTGGAGGTCTGTTATTGTACGTATCTCTGGGGGGAGGTTGTTCCAGAGGGTGGGCGCCGCCACAGAGAAGGCTCTCCCCCTGGGGGTCGCCAGCCGACATTGTCTGGCGGACGGCACCCTGAGGAGGCCCACTCTGTGTGAGCGTACTGGCCGGTGGGAGGCTATTGGTGGCAGAAGGCGGTCTCGTAAGTACCCCGGCCCTAAGCCATGGAGCGCTTTAAAGGTGGTCACCAACACCTTGAAGCGCACCCGGAAGACCACCGGGAGCCAGTGCAGCTCGCGCAAGAGAAATGTCACATGGGAGCGCCTCGTCGCACCCATAATCCCCCGCGCGGCCGCATTCTGGACCAGCTGGAGCCTCCGGGTGCACCCCAGGGGGAGCCCCATGTAGAGAGCGTTGCAGTAGTCCAGGTGGGAAGTGACGAGTGCCTGAGTGACTGTGTGTAGGGAGTCCCGATCTAGAAAGGGGCGCAACTGGCGTATTAGGCGGACCTGATAAAAAGCCCCCCTGGCCACGGCCGTCAAATGATCTTCTAAAGACAGCCGTGTGTCCAGGAGAACGCCCAAGTTATGAGCCCTTTCCGTGGGGGTGAGTGATTCGCCCCCAATAGCCAGCGATGGCGTCAGCTGGCTATATCGGGACACCGGAAGCCACAGCCACTCGGTCTTGGAGGGGTTGAGTCGGAGCCTGTTTCTCCCCATCCAGGCCTGCACGGCCTCCAGGCACTGGGACATCACTTCAAGGGCATCGTTGGGGTGGCCTGGGGTGGAGATGTACAGCTGGGTGTCATCAGCGTACTGATGGAACTCCACCCCGAAGCCACGGATGATCTCACCCAGCGGCTTTACATAAATGTTGAACAGAACAGGCGAGAGGACCGACCCTTGTGGCACCCCACAAGCAAGGTGCCTCGAGGTCGACCACTGCCCCCCTGTCAACACAGATTGCGACCGGTCAGAGAGGTAGGAGGAGAACCCATATTAGGTCTTACCTTGTGGCGATGGAAGTGGCAAAACGTGACTATTTCACTGCTCTCATTGCGTCTGCAGAAAATTGCCCAGCGGCCTTGTTCCATGTGACCCGCTCCCTTCTCAATCAGGGAGCGAGGGAGGACCCCTTACAAGGAAGTGCTGAGGACTTTGCACAATTTCTACAAGACAAAATCACTCAGATCCAGACGGGCTTAGACTCTGACTGGGCAGGATCCGACAAGGAGGTGGGAGCAAGTCTTGATGGTAACATCTGGGTTGACTTTGACCCTGTTTCAATAGATGAAGTGGACAGGATTGTGGGTAGATTGGGGGCCTCCACATGTTTGTTGGACCCATGTCCCTCCTGGCTTGTTGCGGCAACCATAGAGGTGACTGGAGAATGGATCCAGGCGATTATCAATGCT